TTGGTCTGTGCTGGGAATTTGGTATTGGTGCTTCGACTTTCTTTTTGCATTATTGTTTGATATTGCTGCTTACAAAGATTATGTCTGGGTTATACCCTCTCCTCCATCTGCCGCTATTAAACGACGATGGGAGCTTTATATCGTGTATTAATGTTAGGTCATTTGCCTCTGTCCATTTCTCTACTTCTTCTCCATCTTCGTTTGTTTCGTTATAGCCCCAGGCGCTGTTGTGACTGTTGAAATCGCCAATGGCAATTTTTGTTCTTTGGTTTTCAAAATTTGTTGGCTTTGTAAATTTAAATGGGATATTAGGCGGTTTGTATACTGATGTGACAGTGCAGTTTGTAAGTTCTACTGTGAGGATTTCTATGTTGTTGGTTTCTGTATGACTTGTTGAGAGGATCTTTAGATTATCTCTTACAAATATCGTACTGCCGTATTTCTTATGTGGTCTATCTATTGCCAACTTCATTCCCTTTATCTTGGGACGGATGTTGTCCTTGTCTCGGTGTGTTTCTTGGACGCATATGACGTCGCATGTATTTTTTTGGCATAGTTCTTGTAAGATGTCGCTTTTATTGTTTGAGAATCTTTCGATATTTATTGAAGTCGTTATGAGGGTTGGTCCTGAAAAGGACCGTTTTGGCGTTTTGGTTGACATTAGAGATTTTTTTTTTTTGACATTTGAGATCCGTCCGGGGTTGGTAAAATTGGTTAGCGATAAATTCTGGTTTAGAAAATCGCTATGCAGGGGGCGCCGCGTGCAGACTCTTACCATACCCCCCTTTCGAACAGTAAATGATACTTGATAGTTCGGTTCGATTTTTTTTATGTCGAGTTCGAATTTCGAATCGAACCAAACATCAAGGGTTCGGTTCGGTTCGAGATTTGAACAGTTCGACTCATTACTAAAAAAACTCAATATTTTTTATAAACGCAATATAAATAATAAATGTTCCTTATAATTATGTATGCGTTTGTTAATTTTATTTAAATCAATAACTTATTAAAATATAAATGTACATAATGATTACAAGTAGATACATACATATAACATATTAATATTTATAAATTATATAAGTAAATTTATAAATACATAATATTTCTTTTACTTATAAGTCATAAGTAACAATGAAATTGAAATTTTTTCATTTTTGTGCCCTCTCATGAATTGCGCTCAGGGCGTAGGCCTCTCAAGCCACACCCTCCCCTTCTAGCTACGGCCCTGGCTAGGCACCTGTCTAGAGCGGCACTTTCGTAGAGGCGGCATTTTCAAAACTGATTCGTAAATTTTTTTTTTTTCTAACAGTGTTTTATAAGAAGAGTGTTTAAATTAATTCATCCGTGAAAACAACTTATCCGTATAATAAAACAATATTATCTAAAGTCATTATATTACTTAATAATATTACGGCCAGTGTTGGGATTACCTAGATAAAAGTGTTTGTAATCTTTATCTTATCTAGATTAAAAAAAATGAACCGTTGAAAATTATTGAAAAAATTATCCGAGATAAAAAATCACTCATCTAGATGGTTAGATAAATTATTCGTGATCATAAAGATATTTTTCAGTTTTCCAAAAATTGTCCATACTAGTGCTAGACAGTAGACACATTTGTACGTTATTATTATATTTGTTTTATACAGTAATCACTATTCGCTAATCGGATAATTCATGGTATATAATATAATATTATCAAAAATAATATTTATTTCAGTACCTATTTTAATTTATCATTGATGTGTTTACTATTACTTATTCAGAAGAATAGCTTATCGATAGTTGGCCATTATTGTTCTAAAAATAAAATATTTGTTCCAATATAACATGGAAATAATTAAATAATACGATATTATGAAATATGATACTGATATATAATACCTCCTGGCCACTGCACTATTAGTCTGAAGTACTATCTGCAGTCCCATGGACATTACCACTCAATTCGATGAATTGTTCGATAAAATACTATTTATATTACAATGTACATGGCGGAGTAACAATGCGATAGGAGAAACATAACAAATATTTTAGTCCCCAAAATTTAATAATTATATAACAACGTGTATACAGTTATCGATCCAGTGTTGCCAGGCGTACGAACATGTTCGTTTTAGTACGAACATTCTAACTACTGTACGAACTTAACATAAAACGAACATTCGTACGCCTAATTACGAACATTTTAATAAGATGAAAGTATAAATTTAGATAATTTAATTTTTACTCAAAGAATCCAAAATATAACTTGATAATATTATCAACATCACAGTTTTAGTCATTAGATAATATTATAGTGACCCATTCGGCAAATTTTCAATTATTGTTGATATATCTATTTTTAGACATTGAAGTCAACATTTCCAAAAAATAAATATCATTAGCTGATAAGTTCTTATTTATTGTATGAAATATCATTTTATTGAAAATAACTAAAAATAGCAAGTAACAAGAATTAGATTTAGGTAACCAATGAAATATGGGTGATTAGGTTCATCATAAAATCGCCTGAAGCGTCTTGAATCGATTATATTATTATTTATTCTAAATCAAACGATCTCAGAAATGCCGAACACTCATTACGCACAGTGACTTGTATTTTAATTTATTAATTGGATTTGCAATTTTTATCGTTGTGTTAAATATTTATAATATATAATAGCAATGGATCAATATATCATAAAAACATCAAAATCGTCAGCTAATCGATCTCCTGTAAAACATGTAAGTATATAACATATTCATTTGTTTATTATTTATCATAACTCAAGTAGGTAATATAAATGATTGATTATGGTAAACATTTTACATACAACATTTTATAGTTTAAACAATATAAATTAATACTTCTTTCATTAAAATTTATTTACCGACTGAGCGAAGCGAAGGGACATTTTTTACAGTACGAACAAAACCAACATTTTACGATCATTTTCTGAACATTCAATCTCTTTAACCTGGTAACACTGTATCGACCTATCTATGGAAATTAACTGACTTTGTCTTACAATATATTTTGGCATATATATAATATAATTGATGTTCACAAATTTAATGAAATGATACTAATGCTTAAACATTTAAGTTAGTATAACTAATTTAAAAATGAAATAAATGAAATAATTGTTATTATTAAATAGCGCAATTGTGTTAACTGCTAAGTTATAGCTTTTCTACACCAAGTACCAACATTTTTTCAATTTTCGAATTGCGTTGAATGTTGATATGGACAAGTTCCTCGTAAAATATGATGTAAATACTCGTAAACGTCGTATTGTAACCAATTAGGACTAGGAATCGTGGTAGTACTCCCTTCTCATCTTTTATTTCTCTTTCTATTACATGGGTATAATTTAGAGAATGCAAAGAAGATATCATGTACACTGGTTTGTTATCCAACCATTTGAATAGTTCTATGTTATTATTACTAATATAATAATTTGTTTATTTATAATTTCCATAAAATAATTATTAAGTATAGATAGTATCAATAGTCTGTGGTTATTATGTTCACTATTTATTGTATTATTTTAGTACAATAATAGTGACGGGCATTTTTATCTAGATAAAATTATAATTAAATTATCTTTATCTTCATTTAGATAAAATATTTTTAGTTCATCTTTATCTTTATCTAGATAAAATTTTAGTTATGTTGGCTCAACACTGATTACGGCTTATGCTGGGCGTTTTCAGTTATTTCAAAATATAAATAATCCCACGATCACTTCCGTGATTTCTGATAGTGGCGATGGCAAAAGTGAAGGGTAGAGTTGGCGGTATTTTCGGTGTACCGGTGAGTTACCGGTATTTATAAATATCGACATCTTACACTAACCGGTAAACCGATCTTATAATATATACACCGAATATACGGTATTTACCGTGGATCAGTAATTATTATCAAAAGACAAAATTCAAAAATAATAAATATGACAATTTGCTACACTATTTACGCAGCAAGCCGCAAGAGCGTACAGCGTATAATAAAAATACATTTAGAGGAAAGTCGAAAGAGCAAAATAAATCAAACGTTAATTAAGAGGACGCTATACCTAAAGCGAAACGGATAAAACGACCGATAGGAAGCGCTATTAGGTGTTTTTACACAGCGCAAGCACGCGACGTTCGCACACACAGAGTCATAGTTGTTATCGCGCGATTAACAAAACGGTCTAAAAATAATCAATATGCGGGCGAGTATTTTATTGTTTTATGAACTGTCTTAGAATGCAGATAATGAAAAAATAATATATTGGTGATTATAATAATATTACCACAATAGTCAATATTCGTATGATTTTCGCGCCCGCTTATGAACTAATTACTTAGTAATTACTTTTTCTTATAATGTGTACACAAATAATTATACTAAAAAAATCTCGGATAGGCTATATTACAATAATATTTACATTAAAATAAAAATATTATAAATTAATTATCTACTGATTACTTAGTACTTACTTATACTATTATAAAATATATTATATTATATTTTTTTTTTGTCGTCTATACATTATAATACCAAATTTATAGCATTAAGCTAAACTATTTAAATGTTAAAATAGTAGTTTTCTAATTGGTGAATGTATTACGTATATTTTACGTTATAATTGTGTAGGTGTATATTATATATACTTGCTATTGTTAAAGGTGTATTGAAGTAACCAAATTACATTACAGGTAAAATCTATAACCAAATAGAATATAACGTTGCTATACACATTTTAAGTATTAATAATAAAAACAGTATGAAATGTTTAATATAATAGTAATAGGTACTACGATTTTTTAATTTTTTTCAATGAAAATGTTTTAAATCTTTCTTGTTGTTTTTCTAAAATGTCATCTGGATCCCTGATGTCACTTATTAACAATCTTTTGCCATGTAAAGGATCAACGAGTTCCGGCAAGAGACAATTTAAATAAAACCTAAAGTATAAATTCATGTCATATTCAATTTAATTAGTAGGAATGGTATTGGTACTTTCAAAAACTTACGATATTATTTTTTCAGATATTTGCATCCAAAATGAATGATCATAATGAATTGTTTCCACAGTGGTCCAATTTTCGGTATATACTACTAAATAGCATAATTTGCGTTGAGTAATATGCAGTTGTCCAATAATTTGGTAATAATAATTGCTATTTCGTTTTAATATGATTGAAGAATCTTTTATAGTCCAATTTGGTAGCTGTAACATGTGTTATAAACATAATTTCAACTGTTATAACTTTATAAAATCATAATGATAATTATCTATATAAGTATGCAATATTAAAACATTTTTTTTAATTGATAACATAGTTTTATTGATACTTACAAATTTATTGTTGAAAGCATTGATTACACTTTCTGAATTACGAGCATTATAAGGACACTTAATTTCAACTATTGAATTTTCTCCAACTAAACCATCTAATTAAACAATAATTAAAAAAACTAAATAACTACAAAAAATACATCTTTATTTTAATATATAGTATATTAGTTACCTGGACTTGCTGCCAAATATGGTAGCTCAGAATCAATAATAAGACCACATGTTTGGACGTTTACATTGTACATTTCTTCGAACTTCTTTCGACCTTTAGATTCCATGACATAACCATAATTTAATTGCTTTGTTTTTGGATTTGGTGCGTATAGCAAACTATAGATTTTTTTCTTACAGCTAGTACACGGTCGCATTTTGCATATTGTGCCAAAATTTGATGCAGTGATTCGAAGTCTTCTTTCTTTGAACCAAAGAGAATTATTATTTTGATCTCTTGTAATAACAGCATTATATTTTATACTTTTATAGTATTTATTATGAACTATTTTTTTTTATCTTTGTCATTATATCTAATACTCGTATATAGGCGATTTTTGTTATAGAAAAACTATGGTTGTACTTGTATGATATTAGTCATTATACTGTTATTTTATTAAATATATTATTCGCAGCTACTCAAAACTAAAACTGAGTGCTTACGATAGCATTTTTATGGTATTTAGTAGTTCCTTAATATTTAAATACATTTTTGATTTTTATATGATTATTTTATTTTTTCAATCGATTATCGTTTGATAATACAAACTGAAAAAAATTCTATTATTAGTCGTTATTAATCGATATAAAAATATTTTGCATATTTGTAACTATTGGTGATTTATTTTCCTAGTTGTTTATAGTTATAGAAAAACATTTAGTTGATTTATATGACGTATCAAATCACTTTCTGAAGCATAATATTGGTTGAACATTGATATCGAATTCGAATGAATTAAATTTTTTTATTTATTCGTATTTTGATTTTAGAGTTTTTAGATTTTGTTTCAGGAAAGTAATTTAGTACCTGTTCTGAGTAACAATTATAATGATAAAAAATGTGTCAATGATGCCTGGCCAACCTAGTTCAGGAGATGTTAAGAATAATGACAATAGCTACGATCTCTTATTTCCAACTTTGCCAGTTTCGAAGACATCGGACACAATCGGGACTGTACCATTTAAAAAACGGAGTAAAGTTAAATCTTCAACGGTGAACGAAGTAATTTATCATGCCATTTTAATAGTAATTAATAATTACTAATTATTAAGTATTAGAACGATTAGTCTGATATTGACTTGTAACACGGTCGCATATCAGTGACATTATAATTTGCTCGTTCCGTTACCGCAATTTTAATTAAGTTACTTTATTAGTTTATTTAAGTTAAGTTAGTTAGTTTAGTTCACGGTATTATATTTATGCAACTTCACTTTCAAGATGGACAACATACCCTCTCCGTTTACTACCAAACCTAAACGGTCGCTGCTATCATAGCCTATCCATAAGGGGAAAACACCATTAGTTTCGCCTAATCGTTTCGCTATCTTTTCGAGCGAAGTGGACAAAGAAATAAAACTCAACACCTCTTGTGACGTTCATAATATAACCAAAGAATCAATTGTTTACCATCAATAAAAAAACATCAGGTCACTATATATATCAGATGCTCCATTGGAATTAGATTCTCGCAAAAGAATTACGAATGTCATTCAAAATGGCCATATGCTTCCGCTGTTGTTTGTTGAAATTAATCCAAATACAAATAATAAAAAAATTCTTAATTACAATTAAAAGTTCTTAATGGATTATCAATTTTGCATACAAAAATTTAAGTTGAAGCACCCAATAAGACTTATAGTGATTCACCTCAGTGTCTAAAATTACATAGGTACGGTCAAAATGTTAACTATTACCATCACCATACCGGAAATAATGGTGACTCTTCATCCTTCACACTGTGTTAAATGTGGGGGAAATCACTCCTGAAACAGTTACATAAAAAAGAAAGGCTGTTCAACCAAGTGCGGCTTTTGCATGGGTGATCATACTTCCAACTATAAAGGTTGTCCTAAACATAAATTACTTCTTAAACGTCGCAAAACAACCCACTTGTTTTCATTAAAATACAAATATTGTGCTCACGTCTCTTCTTATTAAACGTTTTTCCAAAGCTCCTTGCGTCTCCATCACTAGTTCTAATAATATCCTATTACTTAATAGCCCTATTGACGATATACCGTTTTCCTAATTTATCTTTGGCATTAATAAATCTAATATTTTCTCTTCTTTTATTATTACAGCTCTTCTACGCAATCACCTTACTCCTAAGCCCAAATTCTTTTCTACTTTATTCATTTTAATGATCACGTCTTTAACCACTTGATATATTATCCATTACTTGTAAATTTTAATTTATCGATCAAAATTAACTCTTATTTTATAATTATCTCAAATTATTATATTTTACTAATATTATTTTATGATAAAGATTATTGTATATTAATATTAAAATGCATACTTAGTTATCTTACTCACATGATTTAATTGTTGAGCTATAATAACTTCGTGTTAAAAGTTAAATTAAAAATAAAAATTAACATAAAAATTATAGAATGATAATTTACATATAAAAGAACATCATTATTATGATTTTAAATAACATCGTTCTGTATGAATAGTAATAGTTTAGAAAGTTTTTGTTGATTTATATCTAGAATATAAATAAAATAGTATCTTAATTTTTATTTTGTAAAATTTGTAGATAATTAAAATTCCTGCCCAAGATAAAAATTGGGACAGTAATAGTCAATTAGAGCAAAATAAACGTAAGAAAGTATATATAAAAATTGGGAAAGAGTATAATGTAGGAATGGAGATTTTTATTTCAAAAACTATGGACCTGACTTTACTAATCAGTGGCAACAGAGTTAATGTTGAACGAGCTAAACAAAAGATTATCGCATGTGACCAGACTCAAGTAAATAAGTTTTGATTAAGTTGGAATTAATAAGATAAATTGATAAAAATAATATTTATTATTATTTATTATTATTTTTTAATATTATAATACATAAATGTGCATAATAATGTAATATGTTTGATAAATTATTTGTTATTTTATAGTTTTTTTTGGGATAAATAAATGAAAAAATATTTTTTTTTTAGCAATTTTAACTAAAACATTAAAATTTCAGTCTAAAACTACTACTACACAGTTTCCAAAAGAACATCGAAATAAGTTATTGGGCAAACAAGGACTTAATCTTAAAAGTATCGAAAAACGTACAGGAGCACGTATTCAAATACCGTGTATGAAAAATTCGTCTGACATAATTTATATAACTGGCACAAAGGATTCCACGAAAAAAGTAGTTCAAGTATGTATCAAAAATATGTTTTAGTGATTCGGAATTTAAGTTTAACACATTTAAGTAAATTAATTTTCGAAAACAATGGCTGGAATGAATAGGTTGGAAAAAAATTGACTAAACAGATTAATGTCCATTTTTAAAGTGGTTAATTGTGACCGTACTAGTTTATTTATTTTATTAATGAATTTAAAATTAAATCTTATAATAAATATTTGAAAATTTCACAATTTCTAAATTAAAATGTCGATAATTTTTATTATACTTTTATAGTAAAAAATAAATTAATGAGGATTTTAATATTGAATTTTGATATAACTCTAAAAAATTCAATGAACTTTAATATTCAACTTTAATATTATAGATTTAAAAGTTTTTAAATGGTTTCTGATATGTTTTTTATTTTTAGAAAAAAAATTTACAATTATTATGTATTAACGAAATCGGGTATTTTAACAAATTTCCATAAAATAGTTTTTTTCGTAAAATAATAATATTTGTAATTTTGTAATAATTAAAATTTTTGTTAGGAATTGGAGGAAATTATATTTAAGTTGAAAAGTAAAATTGAAAAAGAAATACCAATTGATCAACGTCATCACGGAGCGATAATTGGAGTTAAGGGTGAAAAAATTCGAGAACTTCAGAAAATATTTAATGTTCAAATTATATACCCCAGTCCAGGTAATTTATAGTATTAATAGTATTAATATGTTTGTTTTTTTTGTATTTTGACCGTTAATAAATAATATTTGGTTCGATATTTTAGTCGAGGCTAGAAATAATTTAGTTAAAATACGAGGTTTGAACGATGATGTAAATAAAGCATTTAAATCATTAGCTGAATTGGCCGAAGTATTGGATGAAACCAACTATGTGTTGGATATTCCTATTTTTAAACAATTTCACAAACTTAGTGCTGGAAAGAGAGCAGTATTTATTAAAAAGGTAATTATTATTTATTAACTTTTATGATTCGACCTTTAGAAATATTGTTATTTATATAATTTAATATTCTAGATTAGAGAAGAGACTGATACGAGAATTTTTTTACCACGTAAAGGATTCAATAGTGATGTTATTAAAGTCATGGGAAATAAAAGAAAAGTTTTAATCGCTTATGATATGATTAAAGAAATATAAAATGAAATAGTTGGTTTTTTATAAAGATTATTTATTTTTCAATTTTATTTTTAATTTATCAATCATGTTTTTTAGGGAGACATAATAACAAAGGAAATGGTATTGGGAAATGTTAAAGTTAGAAATGCAATTGTAAATCTTGGGAATAAATTCATTCAATCTATAAAAGAAGATTGTGGTGGTAATGTGACATTGAATTTACCAACTGTTAAAGGAGATAATGTAAGAATATACTTATTTATTATACTTATAAATTAAAATGACAATTTAACCAATTGTATAAGTTATTATATACGTGATATACTCTCATACATCGATTTGAAGTTTCTCTCTTTGAGCAGGAGACGATTGTCTCAAGAGAAAAAACTGCTTCCCTCCTTAATACAATTAATAATACAAACAATAAATTTTCAAGAAAATTTCCAAATGCTAAAATCTATAAAAAAAAAATAGTAAACAGTTATTTTAAAGCTAAAATTTAATTTATAGACCATAGTTATCAAAGGACCTAAAGATGATGTTAAAAATGTTGTTACACAAATTCAGACAATGGTTGATGAAGTTCATAAATTTGTGTATTATTTAAAAGTAAATCCGAAGTTTCACAAATATTTAATTGGAACAAATGGAGTCAATGTTAAAAAGGTATGTTGTTAAAATAATTTAGTATAAGGGTACAATGTGTTCATTTATGATTTTATACTTGGACTCCAGATCAGATATTTAACGAATACAAGAATAATTTTCCCGTCTGAAACTGATTCCACTAATGAAAATATAACTTGTTGGTAAAAAAGAGAATGTTAATAAAGCAAAAGCAAAATTTGAAGTTATGATAACCGATATTGGTAATGTCATCGAATGTGGTCAATCAAAAAGAATGTTTACACAAATTGGAAAAAGAATGTGGCGATGTTAAAATTGAATTTCTTAATCTTGATGCTGGAGATAGAGTTGTGATCAGTGATAACAAAGCAGATGCTGCTCTTTCTAAACAAAGACTTTTAGACCATGTTAAAGTTTTAGTATGTATAACATAATGTATGTAATATAATTCAATACAAATGCACGTGTATTAAACTAACCTGTCTATTTTTTGTTGAAATTGTATTGAGGTTATATTTACATAATTGTTCATAGTTTTCTTTACAATAATGAACTATTGATATATAAGTCATATAAAATGAAATAACTTTAGATAAAACAATTAAAATATTCATTGATGTACGTAATATAATTAAATAAGTTAACCATATAATCATTAACAATTTTGATTTTAGGAAAATACTATTCGAATTGTTTATTGTGGAATCCTAAACACGAGGATCATTTTAAAAAGCATTTAAAAGAAGAGGCATGGAGGAAAATCGCTCCATACCATTTCTTTTTTTTGTACAAATCAGTCTGCCACTGTCGTTGTTTTCGTCTTTTTTTTTACTTTTATTCCAAATAAGCCATCAATATAGTCTCACTACTCATTACCAGCGTCGCATAATCTTCGAAAGACATTGTTAGTAGTTACTAGTAGACAAGTACGAACGATACTGCCCATAAGCGTGCACACGGGGTAGTCAGGGTAGATACTTGACTATTCTGTGAAACTTCCCACCCTCACCAAAATATTCAATATGATCACAATAATAAATAAACATATTATTTTCAACCACTTCGAAACATTAGTTAACGTTAAAAAAAATGTAAGAATACTGGAGAAATATAGTTTTTAAGTTAAATGAAGTTACGAATGCAAATTTTTTGTTAATATTAAATGATAATGTGTTATGTTTGACTACCCTGCCAGTTATGTCTGATACTGCCGGTATTTCGGTAAGTTCGTTGTTGGTTCGCCGTCGATATTGATTCGCGAACGGATCGCAAGTGTGTACGTGAAATTAAAGAACATAACAAGAACATAACACGCCACTGGTATGGACTGAATTTGGAAAATCCATGCTTTTCACACAGACGGCTGTATGTGACAAACTGTACGTGTGGGAAAACCTGATTAATTTGTATACACACCAGAAGGTAGAACAAAAAATATTGTGTACCCTAATGCACTTCAAGAACATTTATATTATACGATATTTAATATCATTCTAATGAATACTTGAATCATCAGACTTTTCATGATAAAACGAATAAAATTTGCATAATGATAAACAAAATTGGATAATCAATGATTATCAGTTAATATAATAATAAAAAAAGGTTTTACTAATAAAAA